CGGACAAGTTCGATAACCGCCATTATCCGACCGTAATTATTGGAGTTATTCCCCTTGGTTTCATTAATGCGATGCATGCGTTCCATGATGTTGTATTGCACTCATTGATCTACCAGTTATGTTGAATGATTTCTCTTTTAATATCAATTACTCACAAATACTTCATATATTTCAATCATACAAACAACTGCTCATTCAATGTGTGGCGGGCGTATTATATACCGCTCGCGGTAACCTTGTTTTACATCTATTTGTGTAAGTGCCTTCTGAACATCAGTGCAATTCAATACAATTGTGCTTAGCGGGCAGTCAAATTTATTTTTTACATTTATTTGAGGAAGATCACAATCGTCGTCCATACAGAACACACTTTTGAAGAAAGAGTTAAACATGTCTGCAGATTCAACATTGTTGGAAGACGACGATGAACAGTCTGAAACCGAGTCCGGGACAGTCCCCTCCTTCCGCTTTCCTTTCACAATTCCCCAAAAACATTTGGGATTGTCTTTTACAGAATGTTCAACTTTGGTGATATAATCATAGTATTTAGAAATATATAAGTAATACTATATATCGGCATATTTTCGCCCAGTCAAAACAAAAGGAAGGGTGTCTATAAGGCCCTTTTTTGGTGGTATCAATAACATGTTTCAAAGATCATTACGAAAAGTTTTTTCCAACGTTTTCTATACCAACCAATGTTTTTTATGGAAATTAGGCCATGAGAAATGTCACATGACTTGAAGAGATCTCGCTAGATCTCGCGTTACCGAAGGTATTTTCCAACGTTATGACGAAGGCCGGCGAGATTTTAGTCACGTGGCATTGGAAGGCGGGGCTATCAAAAAACTAGAGTTAAACAGAGTAAGTTTGAAAAAAATGTTTTAGTGATTGTATTAGTTGTTTGAGGCATGTTATGTATGTTCATCTTGTGCATAAAGAATAGATCTTTCGATCCATGTGCGACATGTGTGTGAAAGTGACGATTTGTTTCTAAAATATCAGTTTGAAGTGCGCTCCGGGCGTGGGTCGCATATTTCCCGCATATTATAGAGGGCCGGAGTTCTGACGTTAATCGACGACAGACCGATATGAAAAAAGTCAATAAAACGTCAGAATAATTCGGACTAATACGTTTTGAGCCGATTGATTTCTTCAAACTATTTATCGATGATTTAATCATAAACTAGACCGTAGATAAGATGTATCTATATGCCGACTGTGACAATAAATATATTGAATAACGACCTGAAACCTGTTGCAAATCGCATGCAATTCTTGATGAAAAACCTGACCTTTTTACATGAGAATCTCCGCGTAAATGTACAGCGTCTTATGTCATAAATGAAGTTTATTATCTCTGTTATCATTTTCCAATCACATTTGCTGACAAAATAATTTTAAAATGATCTTTCTGGTGCTTAAATCCGATAAATTAAAAGTTTCACCTTTTCTTACCTTTATTAACACCTGTACAGGTAAATACTGAAGCAACTTTAGAATCGAAAACGTTAATATAAACTAGAAACAATAACGAACAATTTTCCTATAACTTTTATTCACATATAACAAATATTTTTTAAGTAATGCGCATTTGAAAAATTAAATTAATTAATTTATATTTCAATAATTAATTCGACAGTGGCATCCCTTTACATAGAAATCAATGTAGCAGCCTAAGGGTTAAGTGAATTCAAAGGTGCATGACACCCTTTATATGCTATAAGTATAAGATATCAATTGTTAGTATTGTATAATATATACATCATATAATATTTGCTCAACACCTGTGGCTGAAGTGAGTTCCAGGTCCTGATTTGTTTTTTTTACTTATCAAAGTTAACTTACAAATCAAAAATGGCAATTGCCACCACAACTACTGTAAAATGATTGATTTAATATATGAAGTTTGATTTGCTGGTAATTTTCAGTCTCCTAGCCTCAAGGAAAGTATCTGCTTTAATCGTTAAAGTTAACCGATTTCATTGTTTTATCAAATGTTCTGCCTATTTCCAATGTTTATCCGCTGATTGTACATAAAAGACATTTGGGGATAAGCATGTAACATTGCATAGAGTTTAGTTATATGATGATATTTAATTTGTGAAAGTTTCATAATTATCCCACAATGCCTTTCTACTTAAAAACACATTTTCCTGTGATTTAGAGTACAAGGACCAAAGTGCATCTCCTTGCCTAACACCAAATATTTCCTGACAATACTAGTCTATATGAATGTATGTAGATTAAACAGGATCAGGAGAGTATTTATAGCAGTAAGAGGGGTGTTTGACATGCTACACTGACCAAGAGTCAGATAGTTTATGCTTTGAAAACGCAAACAGAGACTAAGTTGTTCGTTCAAGTTAATGCTTGCAATTAACAGTTAATCCTTTTGTTGATTTCATACGGTTTATTTGTTACATTCAATGCTAGCTGCTACTCATATTATTTCTTAATTACTTTTCTTCACTTTTTGTTACATTACATTAAACATGCCATCAGTGTATGTTGTATATAAGACACAATTTTTAGAAAATCGAATACACTGACTGTATTAATGCTTATTTCCCATAATGCCAATAAATAACATACAATGTAACCATCCCACTGTATCAGGCTTGTGAATATACATATATGGCTTGTGCAGAATCTTACAGCACCCTGTGTATAAAGGAGCGATTCACTGTTTGTATGTAACATGGTCTATGTCTATCAAGGCCCCTGTTCAATGGGGTCTCTTCAGCCTCTGGTCAGCAAGGCAACTCTAAATTAAACACTACTTTGGACCCACTCAGTGACAGTGAACAAATGCCAAATAAACAGCTTGATAAGATATATTTATATACATAGGAGTACTGGAGCCATATAAGTATGACAGTTGCAAGATTAATACAAGTCAATATCAACGTATCTCGCCCTTGTTCTGTACAGATGGTTCCAATATAGTTGAGTTTCACTATTACACTGACTTACAACGTAAATCTGACATATACATACTAAACAAGAAGCCTTATTTCTTTCAATTCAAACAATATGAATAATATCTAACTGAAGTTTGTTACTATTTCTAATGTAAACATTGACCTACATTTATACGACTTTGACATCACTTTACAATATAGCAATTACAGGGAAATCCCTTCTAAAAACAGCTGGATAGTTGGTTATTTATGACATTAGGCTCTTTCCCTAGGAAAAATAGGAAAGGAATCATGCTCCAACCTGGTTATCGGTTCCGAGATCTTAAAACCGTGTGTACTTGCTGGCTGCTCAGACGTGACTGGCGATATTTAGGAATTGTCCCGAAAATAAAGAGACTCTGTCCCCAGAAATTCACCAAAATGCCTAGAGCAAGGATATTTGGCCAGTAGGTACCTAGGATGGAGTGCTAAAAAGTTTCCTCAAATTAATGACTTAATTTCAAGGTCATAGGGGTCAACTTTGTAAAAAATCTTTAAAACAACATCTTCTGAATACTCAGGGGGCCCAGAGTGATGATGCTTTGCCAGTAGTTACCTTGGATGTAGTGCTGTGAAGTTGCGTAAACTGGATGACCTTGACATATGTTGAAGGTCACATGGGTCAAATATGTTTAAACTTTTGAACGATTTCTTCTGAATAACTGAGACACATATGGCGATGATACTTGGCCAGTAGGTATCTGGGACGGTGTGCTTTTAGCTTTCCCCAAATAAATCACCTTGATCTACAGTAATGTACTTTAAAAGTTATATAAAAAAATATTTAAATAACTCCTTTTGAATAACCAGGAGGTTCAGGGCAATAGTAGTTGTCCAGTAAGTACCTGGCATTGAGTGCTCAAATATCAAGGTGAGCGATACAGGCCCTTAGGGCCTCTTGGTTTTTTCCAGAGCATTATTGATACTTCAAGAATATTGAAAAAAAAATGTGGTAAGTAGCTGTACGGAATATTTCCAAAGTATTTTAGCTATAACATCAGGGACAAGAGGCCCATTGCATGTATACATGCTGGAGACAATATGTCAGATTGTCATTTCAACTAGGACCAAGTCATTATTTCATTATCATTTTTAGGTCACTTGAGCCTTTCAGAAGGTCACTTGAGCCTTTCAGAAACTACTGGAGGGATCTTTTTCAAACTTCATATGTAGGTTCCCCTTGATCTATTGTAAAGCATAATCAATTTTAGGACCGACAGGGAAACCGAGATGGCTGACATTTTTGGTTTTTATTTTGTTTAATGTCCTATTTACAGTTAAGGTCATTTACGGACGTAAGATGGCTGACAGACTGGCTTCTAAAATTGTGAGAGTTCTCAGAATTTACGGGAGATACTGGTATCTTTCCCAAATTTTGCATTTAGATTCCACATGTCCTTAGAAGTGCATATTGAATAAATGGGTCCTGATTGGAAAACCAAGATGGCTGACCGGCAACCATCTTGAATTTTGGTAGTTGAAAGCTTATGAATATATTTTCTCAGAAACTGCATGATGGATCTTTCTGAAATTTCATAACTATAATTTCCCAAGCAATGGTCTGTATGTAGTAAGGCATACTGAATTTGGGGACTGATGTAACAAAGTAGGCCCTACGGGACTTATACAAAACATGTTGACATGATAATTAAATAACATAGGATGAACTCATTCTTTGACTTTTTGATAATAGGGATGAATGTGGTACAATGGTCTTGTCAGAAGTGCTGTATGAATTGGTTCTCTAGTACATATTGGCCAAATTGTTTAACTGTACACATGTCGGTAATTAGGGCATGGCTATGTAGCAATCAACTAACGGACAGTGACCCCTCAGGCATGTATATAGATGATGGGTTTCAGGCATAATGAACAGAAATCCATCTCGGCTGATTTAGTGCATGGGGTTAGGTAGATGTTGGATACAAAAACAAAGCTGCCTATCTGCACAAACTGAAAATTAGAGTATAGCTTAAGGGTAATGGACAGACAATGAGATACACCTCGGCTTATTTGGAACATGGGGTTACGTGGATATTTGGGATAAATACGATGCGGTACAGTAAGATAGGGCAGAGCGAGACGGATCGAGGAAGAATAGACTGACACAGACCACAACTAACACCTTGAGATCCTGTGAATAAACTTCAACTTTACCAACAGCGTTTTGTTGACTGTGGGACTGATGAAAAAACAAGATATAGTAGCCAACAGACGACAATCCTGAAATTTAAAAGTTAAAGTTTGTTAGCACTGTTTTCAGAAGACTCTGGAGGAATCTTCCTGAAATTTCACATTAAGGTTCCCTTTGCCTTTGGTCATTTGTTGGGCGTATTACATTTTGATACTGATTGGAAAGACAAGGCAACCATCTTGAATTTTGATTGGTCAAGTAAATTCTTAAGAAATACTTCACACATCTTCCTCAATTTTCATATGATGTTTTTATTGGGCCGAAGTTGTGCATGTTTCATTTTGAGGCTGGTAAGAAAAACAAAATGGCTTCCAGCCATCATAGATTTCGATAGTTCCAGTTTGTTATCACTTATTTTTGAGTAAGGGCTTGACTGAGCTTTCTCAAATTTCAAATGTAGGTTCCCGTTGTTATACCTATGTGCTTTGTTAGTAAATACTAAATAGGTCCATACCAATGTTACTTTGAAAGAACAATGCAATACACAGCAGTATGAAAGTTTGATAAAAACGTTACCAAAGGTGGATTTACTGTTTATGACTCGATCCAGACTGGAGGACCTAGGTGTATGATAATTGGCCAGAACAAACCTCGGAAAGAGAACAATAAAGTTTCCTAAAATAAATTACCTTGATTTACTTTCACTGTAACAAGGGTCAAATATGTAAAAATAAATAAAAAATGACTTGATCTAAAAATAAAAAGAGGCCAAGGGTGATGAAATTTGACCAGCATGCAGGGATGGAGTGCTATACAGTTTCCTCAAATGAGTGTCCTTGAACCTATTCTCAAGGTCATGAGAGTCACAATCAAATGTGATACAAATCTTTTGAATGACCAATAACCCTAACCATTAACCCTAGGGCAATGGTATTTGGCCAAGAGCATACAAATATTTTATGATTGCTGGACCTCTTGTTAAAAAAATATTGTTTATTTCCATATATCTGAAAAAAATTGGATGGTTTGGTTTAATCACACATGCTTTTGTTTCAGGAGGTAGCTGAATCTTGCAAAATTTCTGCCATGCCAACATTTCAGTTTTATAAAGGGAAAAAGAAGGTATGTTTTTTAGCTCGCCTGATCCAAAGGACCATGGTGAGCTTTTTTCATATGGCAGCATCCGTCGTCTGTCTGTCCGTCAAATTTTCCTTTAAAACGGTTCTAGTCCTGAACGGCCAAGTAGATTTAGACTGAATATAGTCTGGAGCATCATTAGGCCAAGGGGACTCAATTATGTATAAACGGTGGGGGCAGAGAGGCAGGGCCCAATAGGGGCAATAGAGGTAAAACCGTTAAAATCCTTCTTCTACCGTAGGGATTAAGGGATTTTATCCCAATTTAGTCTGGAGCTTCCTTGCGCCAACGGGACTCAATTTTTTATAAACAGTGAGTGTGGTCCCCCTGGGGGCAGAGAGGTGGGGCCCAATAGGGGAATCATAGCAAATTCTTCAAAATCCTGATCTTCTGACAGCAATATGAAGCACCCTTGGGTGAAGGGGAACCAATTGTGTATAAACTGTGCATCTGACCTCCCTTGGGACAGAAGCGGGGCCAAATAAGGGATATAGAGAAATTGCTTTGATATTCTTCTTTCGTTGGGATGAAGGTATTTTGACCAAATTTGAACAGTAGCATCCTATTTGGAAAGGAAATCAATTTTGTATATTAATAATAATAATAACAATTTGAGGTTCTTATATACCGCTTTATCACAACCTAGTTCGTAGGTCATCTCAAAGCAATTCACAAATTATTATCTGTGGTTATAGGGCCTTTGCAACCTGCCAATACCTTTCTCAACTCCCTGGGGAGCATATAGCCGGAGCTGCCATTTCGGCGCTAACAGTAAACATTCAACAATTTTAGCACTGCACAACCACATACTCATTTATAGTATAAATGATGGGTTCGTACCCCCTGAGGGCAGAAGGGTAGGGGGAAATAGAAAAATAGCTTTAAAATCCTTCTTCTTCTGTAGGAATGACAGGATTATGTCCATATTTGGTCTAAAGCATCCTTCGGTGAAGGTGACCTAATTTTGTACCAACGGTGGGTCTGACTCCCCAGGGGGCAGAGGTGTGGGGCCCAATAGGGGAAACATAGCAAATTCTTGACAGGATTTTGTCCAATTGCATATTAATATAACCCCTAACTTACCATTAATACGTGTAAACTACCAGCAACATCTGGCTATTTCAAATTCAATTTTGCTAACATATCCAGGTGAGCAATACAGACCCTTTGGGTCTCTTGTTTTTTTAAGAATCAATATCATATGTAAAGGTTACTTAATATTTCAGGTTTATCATGAAGAATCATGTATTGTCCAACAGTTAATACCTTGTTAACTGAACTGGCCAAAGCGAAATTCATGAAGCTTATTGCTAAATGTCATTTGTGAGATATTGTTGATGTTTTTCTATGTGAACCTTGCTTTTTCATCTGAAGAAACTGAATTAGATGTTTGCCTAAATTGAATGTAAATCCAGTGTTAAAATTAACACCTATAATACATTGTCAGAATGTAGATGGGGGAAAAAAACAAAAAAAAGAAACAGTTGATTGATTAATAAAATCATCCTGAGCCCTAATTCTGATGAAACTTGGTCTGTTTATTATACCAAGACAAAGGCCAAGTTGAAGATAATATGTGCATAGAATCGTTTACATATAGTAGTTCTGCCCCTGTGGTAGTTTTGTTACTTAATGAGTGAGATAGTGTTTACTGGAAATGTAAATGTTTTGAATATATTATAAAGGAACATAGATCTATACTATAGAGGTATAAAAAGGTTAAACTTAACTGGGTGTCTTTTTTAAGTTGTTTTTTTCTATTAAGGTTGAAGAAGTTGTCGGAGCCGATATTAAGAAAATTACGGATGCTGTTGCAAAAAACAAGTGAACTGACGTTGGAGGCCAGCTATCCCAGTATGGAATCACCAAATTATATCTCACTGCTGTATAATCAGGTTGTCAATATTCTTAATTTCTGTGGATATAGATTTGGTACATCAATGTGGAATGGGTTGTAATTAAAGTAATAATTATTTTGAGTTTGCCAATTTAAACTTTCAGGGGACACGAGGCTTTGTAGCAAGAGTACTTGAGATACAAATGTTAGGCAATCATCATTGATTAAGGGGGAGATTTTTTCCCAAAAAGACTCTTATTTTGTCAGAAAAGACTAACTGGATGATTAGCATATGAAAATTATCCCAATGTGTTTCCAAAAAGCTATTAAAGGGTAACTAATATTATAGATTGATCAGGAAGAAACTTGATGAGGAACAAGAGGAAAGTGTGTAATCCATTACAATTTAAGTGTACCATATCTCCACCATTACACTGTTTTCCTAAAACCTGTATACTACATTTAAATATTGTTATTAGTATAAGTTGTACACCATATCATTTATATACTAATTGATTGAGTTTAGGAACAAACATTGGTCATGGAGTAATAAAGGTTGAATCCGTTTTTTAAAAACATTAACATTTGTATAGTCAAGATTGATTGGTTTGTACAAATTACATTTATATTTGCAAAGAATTTGTTTAAGAAACTTTTTTTTTTTATTTATTAAATTATGCTTAGAAAGAGACCATTGAATATTTTATGTACATTGTACAATGATGACAATAATGATAGTTTTCAGGGAGTTTCCTCCTTATTTGAATGATAACTGAATTTGTTATAATGAGGTTTAGAGTTTTCTTAGGAATTTGATCAAAGGATATTTTTTTTTAAATCCCAGTTTAGGGAAACAAAAATAGTTATTCAGAAATGAAAAAAGTAAATATAGTCTCTATACACAATACAGAAGTAATTTTTTTCGGCAATATCAAGGACAATTATCCAAAACACCTAGGAGAATGTGTGGTAAAGATTAGGCTGTACTAACATTTAATGTATGATTACATATTTGATAAACATTGTGTTTTATTTCGTTCTGTAAGTTATCAACATCTAATCATTTTGATAATAAATCTATTTTCTAAAACTTTGGGTTTCTTATTTTTAGCTCACCTGGCCTGAAGGGCCTAGTGAGATGATGATGTGGTGCAGGGTCTGTAACTAATTGACCTAGGGTGATTATATTTAACCTGAAGAATGCAGGGGTGAGGGGCTACAAAGTTTGTTCAAATGAATGAACTTCACCAATATTCAAGGTCACATGTGTCAATTTTTAAAAAATCTTTTTAAAAACAGCCAAGGACAATGATCTATGGCCAGTTACATGCAGGGATGAAGGGCTATCAAGTTTATTAAATGTATGATCTTCATCTGTATTCAAGATTAAGACCAATGTTCAATGGTCAAAGCCTGAACCAAAATTGTGAATTATATGGATACAACCCCCAAGGGGCCTGAGGGAGGGGACCAAAAGTGTGAATGATATGAATACAACCAACCAGGGGCCTGAGGGACGGGGCCAGAAGTGTGAATTATATGCATACAACCAACCAGGGGCCTGAGGGACGGGGCCAAAAGTGTGAATTATATGCATACAACCAACCAGGGGCCTGAGGGAAGGGAAGAATAGTGTGAATTACATGCAAACAACCAACCAGGGGCCTGAGGGACAGGGCCAAAAGTGTGAATTATATGGTAACAACCCTCCAAGGGTTTGAGGAACGGGGCAAAAAAATTGAATTATATGCAAATAACCAACCAGGGGCCTGAGGGACAAGGCTATAATTGTGTGAATTATATGCATACAACCACTCATGGGCCTGAGAGATGGGACCAATGTTTTCTAAGTTTGTATAGAGAAATAACACTCTTAGGTATATTTTGCTTGAAGTTGGTTTGAATTATCATGTGATTGCAGCTTTATATTATGAACATTAATACCCTGACTCTCCCCCTGGAGCCTAAGGGTTTGGCCCAGAAGGGGTCAAATTGGCTAAAATTTGAACATTCTACTTCTACAGACCAAGATATGCTGGAATCAAATTCTCTTCATGGATGGAAAGGTCCTAAGCACATAATGTACTGTGTTATCCAGTGAAAATACCCATGTCATGGTTTTTTTGCATATTACCCAATGTAAGGTAGCAGTATACATTAGAGGGTGGTGGCCATGGGTGATATTTTTGTTAAATTGCTAACCCCTGTATAATGATATGTAAAACAATTATAAATATAAAACTGTACTAAAATTGGTATAAACATGATGAAGTGGGCTATTTGAGCTTCACATTTGTGTAAAAAAAAAAGAAGCTTCGGCATGGTATTTCAGTGAGATAGCACTATAAAGTCGGCATCATATCCGCGCTATCACAAAGAGGCAAGCACCAGCTTATCCGGTCTCCTGCACATGGAGGTACGTCTTTCTATCAACATACCCTTTCCTTGTGCAAAGAAAGCTTATTATTCAAATCGGGAGGTAGTTATAATAATCTTTTCGGCTTGTTCTGCTCCATCTATAGGCCCCTCTGAAAATACACACATTTTAAGCTCATATGGCCCTTTGGGCCAGGTGAGCTTATGCCATGGTGTGGCGTCCGATGTCCGTCTGTCCATCTGCCATCCGGCGTCAATATTTTACTTTACACAACTTCTTTTCAATAACCAAAAGGCCAAGGGTACTGATATTGGGCCTGTAGCATGTTGGGTTGAAGGGCTACAAAGTTTGTTCAAATGAATGACCTTGACCCACTTTCAAGGTCACAGGGGTCAAATGTCTAAAAATCATCAAACAACTTCTTCTCAATAACCGAAAGGCCCAGGGTACTGATATTGGGCATGTAGCATGCTGGGATGGAGGGCTACCAAGTTTGTTCAAATAAATGACCTTGACGCGCTTTCAAGGTCACATAAGTCAATTGTCTTAAAATCTTCATTAACAACTTCTGAATAAATGAAAGGCCCAGGGTACTGATATTGGGCCTATAGCATTCTGGGATGAAGGGCTTCCAAGTGTGTTCAAATGAATGACCTTGACCAAATTTCAAGGTCACAGGGGTCAAATGTCTTAAAATCTTTTCTTCACAATTACCAAAAGGCTCAGGGTACTGATATTTGGCCAGTAGCATGCTTGGATGAAGGACTACCAAGTTTGTTCAAATGAATTACCTTGACCCACTTTCAACCTAATGTCCTTATTCGACATTCAAGGTCACAGGCGTCATATGTTTAAATCTTTTAATAGGTTCTTATGAATCAAACACTGATATTCTGCCTGTAGCTGTATTTTAGTCCACTTTTAAGATTACAAGTGTGAGATTAATACCAGGTGAGCAATGCAGGCCCATTGGGCCTCTTGTTCAGTTAACCTGAAAGATGTACGAAATCGGCAAATTTCCCAAATTCGTACACTGAAACTACACCCAGGAGAATCTTTACGCCCCAGCATCCTACTGAGGAGCCCGGTTTTGCCGTCAAGAGATATTATGGACGCATTCCTGGTAATTTCGTTCCTCATATATAAGTTAAACAATTTGTCTGGTCCACCTCCGACAGATTTCCTGCGTTTTTATGGGCTACACGAGACGAGGTATCCACATTTTTCTCGGTATAGTTTTGACCCAAGTACAACAAGAGCAAGATAACATACCCTAGTGCTCACTCGACCTTTATCCTCGCGTGAGTTCCATTTATTTTGTATTTATATCTAGGAAATATTTTACTCTATCAGTGTCACAGGTTCTTGGCGATGATTGTGGTGGGGGATCTATTGTCAATTTATATTGCTATCTTCACATTCATTCATAGGTGTCGCGTCATATTTTTTTACCATTTTGTTCTCGAGTTGTGTCCCTTCCCACGTAAAATGATTTTCTTCGGTCTAAATTCCGCTTTTTACATGATAGGGTCACTTATAATTTTTGTTTTAAATTTATTCTGGCTCCATGCCTATGATTTATCAGTGGTAACAGAGGTTCAGCATCCATATCAGAAAAAAACGAGAATTATATTTAACAACATATTCTGAGATTTTGAAAACCAAAACGTTAATTTTATTGCACATAGTTACACGCAGCCCCCATAATTTATAATATTGATAAGCTATTGTTAGCCGTGCTGAATAGAATGGTATCATACATATTCACCATCAATTCATGGTTGATTGAACTCTGTCACACTACGCGTTCTCGTTTCCGTGTGACTTCAATACATAGCCCGATCAGCACGTGCACCAATACACGTGGCCGCATGGCATGCGTCCCAGACCTGTTTATCATACTTCAGGTATCGGGTAAGAATAGCCCGGTAAAAGAAATTCGTTTATGATTACTTCAAAATGCCTAGACTAACTAACGATACACGCAACAGAGCAGTGAAGTTACTATTGGCCGGAAACTCCCACAAAAGCACAACAGCCGTCTTGGACAACCGACAACTGTCGAACTGGCCGACCGAAGGTTACGACGCATCGTCAGGATCGGTTCATACGTTTGCAGCACTTGCGCAACCGGTTCGGAACTGCACAAAAAACTGAAAACGAGACACCAGGGACACTCAATCATAGAATAAGCTGAGATACAGTGCTGAGGCGTCTCCCTACATGATGTTCTTGCATTCACTACTATATATATATGCGTTTATATCAACATTAGGGGTGACATGTTTACCCAAAGTTGATGCAAACCCTTAAAACTTAAAAAATAGTCTCGCATTCCCCAGGCAGACTCTCGCTCTGTCTCGAGTCTGCCGAGCGAGAGTCTGGTAAGATTAGTATTTAGATTTTGTGATTTTGTGATCCGGGAAACATATTCTTTCTTGTTGTTTAGTTATAGTCGCCATGTTTGTTTTGGTTTTTCGCGCCCCCTGCTGGTCACAAAAATTAAATACGAATCTTAACAGACTCTGTCTCGGCAGACCCAAAAGAGGGCGAGAGTCTTGGGAATGCGAGACTAACAAAAAAATCTGAACACCTTAGTTAGCTGTAACAAATGCTCTGGAAAATGCCGATTGGTATGTCCACAAGAAGATAGTATAGGAGAAATAACTATAGTCCCTCGCAACCGCAACCACACTGACATTGTCACTGACTGTTTGCAGAAACGCCGCATGCTGTGGAGAATTTGTTTTCAGTTTGAGAATTTCGATTGTATCTTAAAACCCGTATGTTTTAGAGAAAAAACTATGTATAATGTTGCCTGAACTCCAAATTTTGCCGAATATCGTGTGTCAAATGCTGTTGACATTACACCAATTATTGCGTATCAAAAGTATTAACATAAAATCAGATACTACGTGTAACTTTAAAATGTCATAACACCTAACATCTAAAACGTGCAAACCGCCATGTTGGTTTATCTTAGTTCCGTATGTGACGTAGATTCCAGCCGTGTAAACCGGAAGCTACGAATACACATGAACAACAAGCCGTCTGCCAATTGAAAATGAAATACTTCGCCTAAATGACAAATTTGTTTCTCATTTATTTTCTTTTAACAGTCAAATGTATCTACATGCATTTTGTTATATTCTTATGAAATATTTTTTATCAAAGCCTCAAACGAATGGTGGCTCACGACGAAGACGAACTGAACTGAAAATTAAACAGAACTTAGTTCATGATTTGACAGTCAATTTAGTGTGTTTTTTTGCTTTTGTTTTTTATATGTCAACATCGTATATATATGTCAACATTATTTCACAAGCGGTATTTGATATTATGCGATTGTTAATATCAACATTATTTGACACGCAGTACTTTTTTTTCCCCTTTTCTCTTTCTTTTTCACACGCGATAATAGGTCTTACGTAAACATAGACAAACAATAA